AATCCTTTCCTCTTCATCCCAGGGAAGGACTAGTTCTGAAGAGTTTGGTTAGGAGAAGCCAAGGTGCTGGCTCTTACCATTTGTCTAGGACATCTTTGGTTAAAAAACAACAACAAAAAAACTCTTAGCTGGGCTCAGTGGCAGATTCCTGTAATCCCAGCAACCCGGGAGGCTGAGGCAGGAGGATCACATGTTCAAAGCCAGCCCCAGCAGATTAGCGAGGCACTTAGTAACTCAGTGAGACTTGGTCTCTAAATAATAAGGACTGGGGATATGGCTTAGTGGTTGAGCACCCCTGGGTTAAATCCTTGGTACCAAAACAAACAAAAAACCCCAAAACTTGCTGGGCATGTGGTGCATGCCTGTAGTCCCAGATACTTGGGAGGCTGAGGTGGGAGGATAACTTGAATCCAGAAGTTTGGGACCAGCTAGGCAACTAGCAAGACTCCATCTCAGAAAACAAAGCAAATGAAGCCTTTCTTCCAAGCTTAGCTTCTTCCTTCTCCCCTGTCTCGACCCATATTTCCTAGATTTACCCTTCCAAGGCCTCAGTCCCAGCTTCAAGGTTCCTGGATCTCAGCATTGCTTCCTGATGGAACCTGCCTTGAATTGCAACCAGGGTCCCGATTCAGGAATTCTGCCATTTTCTAGGATTGTGAAATGGGTGGGGGAGGTAAGGCCTTAAAGAGGGGCCCACTTGTAAGGTCCCAGCAGGCTGTTGCATAGGCCCTATTTAATTCAACAAGCCTGTATTTAGTATTACTGTATAAAATCTGTGCAGCTGGGAGAAACGGATATAGAAAAAAAGTAAAGGCTATATTGTTCTGTCCTGGAGGTTATAAGCTCTAGTTCATTCACTTCCTTAACAAACTTCCTAAGTGAACACTATAGGTAAAGGGATGATGTAGTATAGTAATCTTACAAGGTTACCCCAGAACCATTACTAGGGTGCCTGTGAGCAGCTTCTCCCTGGGTGACTTGACATAGGCAATACTTTGCCTAAATGAGGGCACTTCCTTTCTTGGCCATGCTTGGTTGCTGCCTGGTGTCTGGATCCTAATGGGCTGGGTTTCCTCCACACCACCTGTACCTTAGTCACCCTCTACAAAACAGGTTCATGGAATTTGAGGCAGAAGAGGAGCTGCAGATACAGAATGCACAACTGATGAATGGTGCCCAGGGACTGCCTCCTGCAGCCCCTTTGAAATCTGATCCTCCAGGGCCACCAGTCCCTGAGGTTTGCCAGCAGCCAGGTAAGGCTGCCCAATGCCAATAGTAGAAATGAGCCCAAGGCTTGAAGGGAGGCATACAGAAATCAGCTATGGATTAAGGAAGGCACGGCCTTTGCTCCTGCCACTCTTTCCAGGAAGTGCATTTTATATCCCAAACAGGATGCCCCCTCAGGAAGCTGGGTTTCAGATTGCCCTTGTCCTGAATTAGGTATTGATCTCAGTCACATAAACTAATTATTCTCTCATCTAGACTGCAGATGAACTTCATTGTACCTTATCTGCCTAAGAAATGGGGAAAGAGTTCCAATACTGTGACACTCTCTCATAGCCTCCGGCTTTTAAATCTTCTCGCATGGTCTGTACTTTTTCAGCCTGGAATCATTTCAATGTACCCAGATTGCTGCCCTTACAAATAGAATTGGGAGGTAGAGGCCAAGGCTTCCTTGCCACTTCCCATTCCCCTAGTGCACAACCTGTACCACTTCCCACCCCTAGTGTACATTCCAAAGAAGGCAGCCTCCAAGGCACGGGCTCCCCGCCGGCGGCAGCGCAAACCCCAAAGGCCTCCAGTTCCTGAGGCACCCAAGGAGATTCCACCAGAAGCTGTGAGAGAGTATATTGACATCATGGAAGGGCTGGAGGGGAGTCACTTGGCCACTGGGGAGTCGGATGGAAAACAGGAGGAGCAACAGGAGGAAGAAGCAATGTATCCAGATCCAAGTCTCCTGGGCTACATTGATGAGCTGTGTTCTCAGGAGATCTTTGTCTCCAAGGTGGGCTGGGCTACTTTTTAGTAGGTCTTAGGGGTGGGCATGATGGGATACCAACCATCTGGGGTTCTGTCTAAGGCAGAAGGTAGGCTTTATTCTTTAACTGGTTGTAGTCATGGCCTTGTCTCTGGAGATCTTTGGCTCACAGGTTACTTCATCAAAGATTCACATCATTGTTCCTTCTATTCTCCAGGTGGAGGCCATTATTCACCCTCAATTTATGGCAGATCTGCTGTCTCCAGAACAGGAGAGAGATCCTTTAGCCTTAATGGAGGAGCTGGAACAAGAAGAAGGACTCACTCTTGCACAGGTAAACCTGGGAGGTAGGGAGTATTAGAACAAGATGTTTTCAAGATTTTTTCTTAGAACAGCTTCAGGATTGGGCTTTAGGTGCAGAATAGTTATTGGACTGTGGAAACACAGGAAATGAGAGAGTAAGGGGTCCAAGCATGAGAATAAGGCATGAGAAGGTAGGAAGAGCTGCAATTATGTCTTTGATACCATCACTTGATACATCAGCTTTTCTTCCCTGTTCTGCCCAAATACCGTCTCTACCGCCCACTCAGCCACCTCTTCTCACAACTATGTATAGAACTGGTATTTGTCCATTCTCTTTCAGCTGGTCCAGAAGCGACTCTCGGCCTTGGAACAGGAGGATGTGAAGACGCCTCCAAATTGCAGTGCAGTTCAGTTGGTCTCGAGCCATTCTGTTTCTGATAAGGATGAAGGTGGGGGTGGGAGGCCTCGGACCTCACCTGGGCCACAGGGGGGTACTGTTTGCCTTGGAAAAGCTGTTTCTTCAGGAAAGCAGGCAAGAGAAATGCATGGTGGTCAGCAGCGAGCTCTAGATGGTCTAAGGGGAATGCGCAGAGAGGGGAACACTCTGCCATCCTCGAGTAGCTGGGACCTGCAGGTAGAACTTGGGGCTTCACAGGGAACTCAGACACTCTTGGGTATGGAGAGAAAAGGGTCTAGGAAGGTCATAAACCAACTGTCACCACATCAGGAGGGCCATCTGGGGGGTGCTGGGTCCCCTAGGCACTGCTTGGCAGCTGACAGGACTTCAGAGGCTTTGCCCCTTTGCTGGCAGGAAGGCCCCCAGCCCAAGAAAGCCCCTAGTTTGGATGTTGAGCTTGAAAAGCCAGCTCCTCCACAAGGACAAGGGTTAGAAAAGAAGGATCTGGGGCTGCAGACAGTACAACAGATGGGGGAACTTGAAGTGCTTCCTCAAGGGAAAGAGCCTTCAGCAGCACTGCGGGAAGGCTCCTCAGGAACCATGTGCAGAGATGACAGAGGTCCTCCCATGGATCAGAATTGTGATCAAAAACCTTCCCCTGGAGCAGCTGGGGACAGGGACAGGACCTCTCTTAGCCCAGGACTTTGGCTGAGCAGTGAGATGGATGCCGTAGGCTTGGAGTTGCCCTTACAAATTGAAGAAGTCATAGAGAGCTTCAAAGATGGGGAATGTATAACTGAGCATCAGGAACTGGGCTCCAGGAACAGCATTTCTCTGGGTTCTGGAGAAACCACGATGCCTAGGGATGTGGGGAGCAGTGTGGTTCCCTGTGGAGAAACAGATGCCACAGCTGCCCTAGAAAAGAGAAACTACTGTAGCTTGTCAGTACCTCTGAGGGCCAATAGCCCAGTCTTGGGACCCGATAGAGAACAGGACAGTGATCTCTGGGCTGAAGGTTGTTCTCCACTGCTGGAAAGCAGAGTTGGTACCTCCACATTGGGGTCTTCCAAAGAAACTCTGCTGCCTGCATGTCAAGGCAATCCCATTATTCTAGGGACCCAGGATGCTTCCTCCTTCCCAGAGGGCAGCCAAGAGGCAGGGAGCAGAGGCAATCTCTTTTCTCCTCTGTTGGAAACCACAGAACATGAAAACATACTAGATGTTAGAGATAACTGTAGCCTCCAACTAGGGGTCAGCAAGGATACCTGTCCTACAAATTTTACTTCTGATGATCCTCAAGGAGTGGGCAGGGAAGACAAGGGTTTGTCTAAGCAGAACGACCTTGTTCCTTTACAAAGCAATCAAGACACCTTGACACTCAGGGCCTCCAAATCAACATCTCCTCACCAGAGCCTTCAGAGCTCTTCCCCTAGATGGGGAACCAGGGATGCTTTAGTCCTGAGAGAAACCTCTCCTATGAGTAAAACACACACCTCAGATGTGATAAAAGGAGGGGAAAAGGAGGAGGGGGAAGATGAGGAAGATGAGGGGCTCTCTAACTTTGCCTACCTCTTGGCCTCAAAACTTAGCCTGTCTCCGAGAGGGCCTCCCCTCAGTCCTTGCCAAGCCTCAGGAAGTTGGTCCATCCAAAGATCATCCTACCCCTCCACTGAGGAAAGAGGCCTTAGCCAAGCTCCATATCCTGTCAAGTCTGGGAAGCGAGCTGTAGTTGGAGGTCCAGCTGCTGCTGAAAAGAGACCCCAATCAGGAACTCAACTTGGGGTCCCTGGGGAGAAACCCCTGGCTCTGGGAGCTGTGCGACCTTCACAGCCTCGTAAAAGGCGGCGTGACAGTTTTGTCACAGGCAGAAGAAAGAAACGACGTCGTAGCCAGTAGGAAGCAGAGGGACCATCCTGACCCACCTGCCAGTCCCAGAGGTGGGTGCCCCAGAGTAGATTTCACTGCTGCTGCTCACAGTGGAGAATCAGCCTCAGCCCAATGCTGTTATGTTCTGCAAGAGTGGTTGGTGAGGGAGGCGGGAGGTCAGATTGACCAGTTACAGGTGGTTCCATAGTTGGAAGAACCTTTGGAAGTTGTTGTATGGAATAAAATAAAGGTTTCTTTTGTTGGAGAATGCTCTCAATGTGCCCTTCTTCTACATGAACACCTTTGCTGCTAGATAGGGCAAGATGTTGTGAAAGCAGGTGGGGGTAGTTCCACAGTCTGGATCTAGGTACTTGACTGTGCCTCTCACCTTAACTTGGCTCCCTGCTTCCTCTTGGCAACAGATATTTAGGTTGTGATAGGGGCCCAAAACAAGAGTTTTCACATGATCAGATCACTTTATTCATTCCATCTACACAAGCCTGGACTTGGCATCAAGAGGGCTTTTCTGGATATCCTACTGTTACTTACCTTTCCTTTGCTTTTTTATATATTAATATCTCTAGGGCAGAGATCTAATTTCTTAAATCTAATTAGTTTTCCTTATTTGTTTCTAGGGGCCTTCTTTTCTTCCTTGAAAAGATGCTGAACAGAAAGGACTCATGTGTCCTCAGCTCATCCTCTGGCAGGGAAACTGACCCACGTGGTTGGTCTGCCCTGTAACTGGGAGGCTGCTTCCTTACTGACATAGCTCTCTGCTCCCACTATGGGTGATGGAATCAAGTCTCAGTAGGATTATTAAATATGGAATGGTAGTAAGCTATTTTAATCTTTAATGAGGACAGAACAAGAGGGAATGGGCTGAAAAGAGGTTCATGAACTAGTACATTAAAATGTGCATATTTAGGAGGTGATAACAGAAAGGGAGGGTATGAGATTTCTTTGTATAATTTATGTACAGGAAAGAGCCCTGTCTGGGAGTGAGAATACTCCTCCAGCTATGGCTAAGAGGACTGACCTTTAGAACCTTCTGGGTCTTCCAATGGGCATCCTGTAACCATTCATCCTTTTCCTTCCCAACTAATGATGTCATCCATGTGACTGAGCTTCACTTTTTTTTAAATAGATATATATTTATATTTATATATAAAATAGTTTCTTACAAAAAAACCCAACCAAACAAAAAATTAAAATCAACTTAAAAAAACAACAACAACCAAAATCAAACAGGAGCAGAGATGGGGTTGAGGCATAGGGTAGGTCCCTTGCGCTGCCCTGAGTCTGCGGGGCTGGATTTGAGCTGAGGAAGAAGGGGTGGGTGACTGAGGCACTCAGTCATCCTTCTGCTTGGGTGCTTGCATGGTCCCATTGGCCAGAGCAGTGGGGCTGCCTGGGGAGATGGCATTTGGTATTTGGGAGGTGCCTCGAGGGGTGTGTGGGGGGCGCAAGTAGGTGCTGAAGAGCTTCCCATAGAGTGGGTCATGGAGGGAGAAGTTCTGGAACTGACCTGGACAAACAAGAGATGGGAAAAAGTCAAGACCCAAGAATGAGAAGAAGACGCCCCTGTAATCTACTCAGAACCAAGAGGTCCTGCCCCTCTTATCTCTGTTTAACTTCTCAAATCCAGGTTTTTGTCTGCTCTTCCCTTTCAGCCCATTCCTCCCAGCCTCAGCTCTCAAGACAGAGGTTTTACCTCCAAACCAGCCACTAACCCTTGTTCCCTCTGAACCCATGCTTTCTTCTCCAAGTCCCTGGTACTGATGGTGCCTGAGTGCCCGAGCAGGCCGAGAAGGCAGTGACTCACAGAGGGAGAGGCCCTGGCTGGGTGCCTCCTGGCACAGCTCAGCATGCAAAGTTGAGGCAGCAGGGCGAGGTGAACCCAGTAGCAGGTGCAGGATGGTGCTGAAACCGTCTCTGTACAGCAGGCGGCCAGGCCCCTCTGCCTGCTCTTCGGCAAAGAGCTTGGGAAAGAAAGGGATGTAAGTCAAATTATGTCCCCAAGACACTGAATCATCTTGCCCCACAGGTCTGCCTGATATGCTCCTCCTCTTCAGAAAGCACTTTGCATAGTCCCCCTCTGACCTTTACAGATCTTTTTACAGAACTGTAAACTTTATAGCTTTTGCCCTCTTGTGGTTCCTTGCTAGACCTCAACAGAGACACCAGGGCTCTGTAGCTTTCAGAAGTGTGGCATGTGGTAGGACACCAAGTGCCTACCATCTAGAAATTATTGGGAATTGTGCACAACACCAGCCTCCTGATATGGGATGAGCATAGACACAAGTGCCCCTCACTTCTCAGGTACCTCAAAGGCTAGGCGAGTCAGCTCCTCCAGGTTCCTGCCCCCATCCAGAGCTGCTAGTGCAAGTGCCACATCTCGGAAGTCCACCAAACCCTTGGCATCCTGCAAAGAGAAACCAGGGTGAAGCAGGGTACCCTCCCTCCTGCTCTCTGGATTGGGCTCCTCCCTTTCCTAAGCAGACATGGTTGTGATGCCTGTGAGCTCTAAACTCTGCAGGATTCCTGAAAGATTAAGAAAGATTGTAACCTGAAGGAACTATCTCAAGTCACTTGGTGACAAAGATCTCACAAGAGATCTCCTAGGAATGTTAGGGAATCCCTCAGGAATGCCAAAGTTACTTACCATCAAGTATCTGACATACCACGAAGGCACTCCTGGCCCCCAAGCTGGACAAACTGGTTCTCTCCTCTGACTCAGCGTATGTGGGAGAACTAGTCCCACAGATTGAAAGGGGGACCACTGGCCTAATTTCTCACAAAAAAAAAAAAAACCCAAGCAGGATGCCTGCTATTCAAGCTGTATGGGAGAACCACATAGGAGCTCCTTTCAGGAACACACAGTGCTTCAATCTAAGGAATCTACAAACTTGATCACTCTGTCCCTTCAGAGAATGTTAAGAGCCATAGTCTGTGTCTTAAACAACAAAAAAAAAAAGAGCTACTTGGGGCTACTGTTGTTCATAAACATTAATAATCTTTTAAAATTATAACTTGACAGGGAAACTTAGTTGTATACCAAGGAAATTCAGGGTTTGCCAAGATTCTTGAGACTATTCCAGAGTCTCATAGAGAAGTCACAGGCTATTAGGAAAAATCTGCCCCAGAATTGAAAATATTCCTGGATCTCAAATTCTCCACTGTCTAACCTATCAGTGGTGTGAAGATCCTCACTCAGTGCCCCATACTGTCATATGATGCCCCCATCTCTGCCAATCTCTAAAGTAGCTTCAGAAATTGATGGACCTCAGTTATGGTTTATTTTCCCACTTGTTCCTCCTGACAATAATTACAAAACTGATCTTATGCAGTGCATAGTGACACACGCCTATAATCCCAGTCGGGAGGCTGAGGCACAAGAGGATTACAACTTTGAGGCCTACCTCAGCAACTTAGTGAAGCCTAAGTAATTTAGGGAGACCCTGTCTCAAACTAGAAAATAAAAAGTGCTGAGGGATATGGCTCAGTGGTTAAGTGCCCCTGGGTTCAATCCTTAGTACCTATAACAAAATAAACCACTGCTCTTCCAAATGGATCTCCGAAGATAATCATCTGTCAAAGGTGGTCAGAATACCCAATGGAGACTCTCAGCTGGGCATCTTACTGATAAAGGCCAGTAGGATATCGCCTCTAATGCATGAGTATGTCAGCCTGGAGAGCAAGCCCTGGCCTCTGCCCTTTGCATTGTAGCTCCTTTACCTGCTGGAAGTAGCTGAAGGCACCAGCCACAGTCTGAGGGTCTGAAAGCTGTAGCTGTCTGGCAAACTCCTCCTGGCCAATCATTCGACTCCGGCTTGGCTCTGCCCCAGTGTCCACACAGCCAGGGGACAGCCTACAACAGAGTTGAAGGCAGAGCTGGTTCCAGGATATACCTATATACCATGCAGTAGCACCCTGGCCCAGCTCCACACATTCTCCCAACATAGGTTTAGCTGCTGGATTTTTTTTTTTCTCCTCTGGCACAGGGAATTGAATCCAGGGAACTGACCCACTCCCTTGAAAGTCCTTACTTTCCTCACCTGTTAGTAGGTATCCTGTTTCTCCTCCCCCAGTTTCTATTAATCCTTTTACTTAAGAAGCTCCTTTAGCATCCCACTTTTTTTCTTAAGACTTTCCTTTCTCTCTCCTACTTCTCCCTTTTCTTTTTATTTTCTCTTTCTCTGTTTATGACAATGCTTGTACCTTCATCTTCAAGGTCACTTACCCTGCTTTCCGAAGCACCTTTCCCAGTTCCCAGAGCTGTGGCTCCAATGCCACCTTCAGCCGGCCCACCACAATCACAGGCAAGCTCCCTACAAACTCACATTCAGTGGCTGGAATGCCCAAGGCCCTATGGGATGAAGAGGGATGAGTGGAGAGGGAAAGAGGAAGCAGAAGAAATTCTGAGGGCTCATTATTAACTTTGGCCTGCTGACCTAGGAGGGGTCAGGCTCCTTTATCTTTCCCCTTCTCAGCCTCAGCTATTCAATAGCCCTTCCCACTGCCAGGCCCCTAATCTTTGCCTCAAGACCTCCCCCATTCTCCCCCTCCCTGAGGTTCCTTTTTGCTGTGTATCTACTCCAGGAAATACTTTGTGGAACACTCACTGCGCCATGACCTTCTGGACATTGTTGGCGTAGAGGGTGGGGTCCTTGCTCTCCTCAAGGCTGGGCTGATACACAGGGAGGAACTAAAACAGACATGCACAATTCTTAGCAGGACCTCAAAAGGAGGGGTGACTATTCCTACTCTTTTCCCATGGCTTTAAGAGTCCATGATGCCCTTTCTCCCACTCCACCCACTGGGTTCATACCTCCACATCCACAATGCTGCAGGGCTGAGAGGCTGTGAGCCAGAGAACTTTGAGTCTAGGAGAAGAGAGACCACCATGTTCACATATCTCCAACTATGGGATGCTCCTACCTTGAGAAAGGGAAAGTTCTACCCAAGGATATAAATAAGAATAAACCCCTAGCCACACAGTCAGCTGGGTCAATGTGCAGTTGAGAGACCATGAAAAGGTCCAGGAAGGTAGCTGGGAAAGACAGAAGAGTTTCAGGGGTGTGCCAGAGGAAGAACTGTGGGCAAGAGGAAGTTTGGGTAACGGAGGGAAAAAGGCAAGAAGCAGGCTGGTAGTGGTGTCCTAGGGGACAATTAAGGAGGAAGATCACTTAGAAACATAGGAAAGTGAGGGGCTGTAATCACAGTAGGACTGATACAGGTGGGACAGGTGAAAGCACAGCCAGATGATACTGAAAGGTCAGAGGGAAACAGGGAAACGGGTCTCTTATCCTCTAGCTCTCCCAGTCTTAGAATGAAAAGGGCCATTCACCTTGAGAGTAGATGGCCCAGGAATACAGAACCAGCTCCCCACCCTCACCCCAGGAATACAACTCACACTCCAGGCCCCCTCCACGCCCAGCTGGTAGTGTCCTATGGGAGAAGTAGAGGTGGGAGCAGAACATTACTTTCTTTCCTAGAACCAGCCAATCTTCTTTGACTTGGCCCTAACTCTGCCTCCAGCCCCATCCCCAGATGCACCTCCCCACATGGCCCCAATGTTTTTCACTTATTCCCATTAGGGTGGATTCATGCTCCCCCTTCCACCCTTCCTTGGACTAAGACTCACCAGACTGTTGGGGTAGCGGATGAGGACAGGCTGCACAGGCACCCCTGCGATGAAAGCTCCTAAATCCCATTTCCACCCCCACCCCAGGGGCAGAGGTTAGTGCATGAGACAGCATGAGGCGTTGGGATCTGGGACCAGTTCCCAAATGTGACCTAGCCTTCTCCCTTCGTTTTCAATTTTCTGACTCCTCAACTTGTCATCATTAGCTAAGCAGATCCCTGTCTCCCTTTTCCCCAACACTCCCCACCCTTCTGCTGTGCAGGTTATTCCTCCCCCAAACTGGGGCTCATTTTCCCCACTGCCTTACCACCCACCATCATTTTATTCACCTGGCTTGAACTTAAGCAAAGCCTTCTTGTTAGAACAGGTGCCTTCGGGAAAGAATAGCACCTGGGGGGAAAAGAGTAGAATGAGGTGGGGAGGAAAGGAAAGACTCTTCAGGAGCACAGAGAAATGGAGGAGAGGGTCTCAAGACCCTTACCCACCTGGGGCCACTTGCCTCCTGAGGTGGCCCGCCTTCGGACCTCCTCCACCACTCTACGACGAGAAGCTGGGTCATGCCGGGAAACTAGGATGGCTTGATTGAATCGAAGAAGGGCTGAGGGTGGCAAAGGTATCAGGAGAAATCTTTTGGTCCCTTCCCCAGGGCAGTAACACCTGCAGCCTCCATTTGCTCACAGTATGAGATGTTCCTTAGTTATCTCTTTGCCCTGGGCACAATTCCTTTATTGGACCTTGTCCTTTCAAAGAAGTGATCAGCACTCCCGCCAACACATTCTCAATGCCTCAGCCTTCAGTGTCTAAGACACCCAGTGACAAATGATGTTGATTTATATTTCATTTGCCAGAAGTCAAAATCCCTCTCTACCAGAGCCCAGAGTTATCATGCCCCACCCTTCACTGTGTTGCACTTTCTCACCTCCAATGACAGGCACCGAAAGGTTTTCAGCTCTGGACACAACCTTAGGCAGGTCACAAGGCAGCAGAACAATGGGGTCAAAGAAAGTGGAATGGGGGGCAGCCACAAGGACAGGGGCTTGGAGGCGAGAGGCCCTCTGGCCTCGAACCCGAATCCGGAGGAAGCCCAGTAGGAAAAACAGCAGGCGGCTCAGGCCCAGTACCCCGTTGTGGCACACAGTCCTGCCAGGGCAATGCTGGGTATCAGTGGGGGCAACAGCTTGACCTTCACCCACTCCCTGGGGTTTGGGTACCCCTCCTTTCTTCCCTCAACTACTTTGGCCATGAGGCTGACATCTCTAGGCCCTCTGGGACACGTCAGGGCACATCACTTAGAGGTGAGGTCCTGGGTACCGGGTCTGGACTTGGCTGACTAATCTCACCTACCCAGGTTGAACAAAATAATTTCAGAAGCCTCCTTCTCCTTTTCCAAGAGGGGGCAGAATGGATAACAGGGAAGAGAAGTAGCCCCAGGGCTGATTCCCTACTTACTTCCTCCATCCTGTGATTGGCTCTTGAAGCTGCTCCTCAGTAAGACCTGCTACTTGAAGCCAAGCAAAGGGCCAGAGGAGAAAGAGGACAATAAAGGCCAGAAGCACTCGGATGGGGGCCAGCAGTGCCCCCAGGAGGCAGAACTGCAGAGGGTGGGAGAGAATGTCATTTAGAGCTGGGAGATGGTTTCTTCATGGCATCCCCTCTCCCAGGAGGATGGACTCAGGAGCAAGCAGCCATCATCCTTTGCAGGTGAATGGCTGTGTGGGAACAGGAGAGGAGACTAGGTTCCCAGTGGGATGAAGATATCAGTGAGGACAAGAGGATCAAAAATTATTAGCACCAGGAGCCTCATTCTCTCTCTCTTGGTTCCCACTCCACCTATAAAGGTGAATGTCATAAAACACACCTAGCATTTGGAAAGGCTATTAAGAGAAATTAATGAGAAAATGCATGTGAAAGTGCCCAGCACTGTGCTTGATGTAGGCTAAAGACAGGTCCTCCTCGCCCACATCCCTTTCCACAAATAGTTCCTATGTCAAACAGAAACCAGGTGCAGAGCTCTTTCCACTTTGAGCCTGGGATGCAGAGTGGACTGAGAGGTCCACTTTTCAGACCTCGGGTCAGTCCTTAGTACTACCCAAGAGCAAAATCTTTATTATTGGGGGAGAGGAGGGAAGAAAAGGTTTGGCCCTACTCTGCGAGACAAGGGTTGCTAGGAGCCAAGAGCGATTCCAATAGGCTGCCCTGGGGAGACAGCAGGTAAACAAACCTAGCTAGTGAGTCTGCCTGGGGAGGTGATGACAGCAGAAACCTTGGACACTTCCTCCCGACACCATCTCCCTGATCCCCCAGGCTGGTGCGGCCCTCTACTTCCTGTAGCCAACCCCCTTTCCAGCTTCCCTGCCCCCACCGAGAGGTGCTGCAGTGCGGGGGGGGGGGAAGAAGGCAGAAAGAGGGGGTGTTGGAAGGGCACAGGGGCGCAGTCTCTGGGCCCAGGTACGTGTTCTAAGTCAGAGCCCCAGGGAATCACTCAGCAACCCCAGCCCCCAGAGCCTCCAACTCCATCCTAGCTCGCCAGCCTCCGCAGGATGTAATCCGCATTCCCGAGTGTCCTCCATCTCTCCTACTCCTGGGTCCCCTGCAGTGCTCCATCCTCACCTACTCAATTCTTACACACCTTCAAGCTTGTCTATCGCTCAAGCCCGCGTCCTAACCAGGGCTCCTCGCCCACCCCCGGCCACCCCCACGTGCACACCTCCCGGCTCCAGCTCCACAACCCTATCAGCCGGGTCCTTCTTGGATTCCCGTGCCCATCCTCTCCATGGCTCTACACGGCCCATTTTCGCATCTCCACATTTGCCCATCTCCGCGAGTCCTCCCGACGCCCCCTGCCCACACCTTACCTTAACCCTCTGGAGGCGTGAGAGATGTAACTCGTGCACGAAGGGGTTGGGGGGCGCTGGGGGTCCGG